AACATGGTGGATGTGGGGAGTGGGGATGATGTATGACATGAAGACCCAAAAGTAACGACGATACACCCTGGGAACGTGATATGCACCTAGTTGATCTTGAGAAGCTCGACCTCGAACTTGAGGGTAGCGTTGGCTGGTATCACAGGCGGGAATCCGCGCGATCCATACGCCTACGAAACAGTGTTAAGCAGGCTCGGTGATTGGATAGATGGACGAGATAAACGACGCACATAATCCGGGGTCGCCGTCAATACCGCCTTCTCGCCCAGAGAGAGCTGTGGGACACCTATCCAATGCACGTCAGATCGCCATCGCATCCATCGCCCGCAACGAAACGCGCACCTTCGTCCCAGCCCTTGATCACCTTGCCCACTCCAATCTCCGTGACGAACGGCTCGCCTCTGCACATCGCGTATCAGCCACCATCCAGCATGAGACAACCAGAGCAACGCACCGATCCCTGCTCGAATCAAACTTGCTGCCGTTGAGGAGCGTGCCCACGTAGTGTATCGTCACCTTGTCTGTCGCTCATCAGCTGCGGGCCACGGAAACGCAAGATAGGACAGAGCACATACCGCCCTTCTTGGGAAAGGTGGCGCCATCGCCGGGTTGGAGAGATTCAACAGTGACGCCCTATCCATCGCGTTAGATGCAGAAACCAGGGACGTAGAGAGAGATGAACGGACCATAGCAGGAAATGCGGGGATGAATGAAGGGAGATGGTGGGTGGGAGATACCGGCATCTGCCCCTGTTATATACTGCCGGAGTGCGGATCTTGATCCGGAGCCGATGATCAGCTAGGAGATGTAGGCGCTGCCGAGTTGTTCGCTTCGTGGCGCGCCATTGTTGGACGATGTCGACCAGACGTTGAGGATGGGCTCGGTCGGCAGGGGATATTTCACGCAAATTAGATGGGCCGCGATAGCCCTGGCCAATGGTGCCCGGGCTTTTCGACGGTGTTGGCCAGTGGTTATCGATGCGCCCATCGATAAGGACGTAACGGGCGCTTGATTCAAGGCGATAGCCACGTAAAAAATGACGCCGTCGACATGACAGAAGCCACCGATAAAAACAAGGGATTTATACCAGGACACGCTACCGTTAAGCTACGCACGCCATGAGTTGCTGCACCATTAGTCGATAGTCAAAGCAAAAAACAACTAATAACAGGACGCGTTATGTTTACTTGAACGCTGCGACAATCAAAGCAAACCATAGTTGATGCGACCGCTAAGCGACATTCATAAAAAGGTTCGGTCAGCAATGCTGCATAGTCAATGTAACCGCTAGGATACACTGGCCATAGAAGGTAAGCTCCCATAGACGAACTAGAAACTTGAAGGGACTCGGAAGACCCATTGAGTTCCCGAGTCAACCAGACACCGAAGCCGTCCTACCGCCCTCGAGAGTGGAGTATGTCGCAATGAGAGGGGCAGACAGAAAAGCTAGGAGACGAGACACTGGAATCGCTTACAATTTACTAGTGGTAGGTGCTCCAGAAATCTCTAGGCGCACCTTAGAAACAAAAAAACGCAATTGGATTGTATACAGGTGTAGGTCACCCAATGGGCCATACGCCTGTGAGTGAACAATTGTCCACGAGTCAAGTCCGAATTCACGTTCGAGAAAGTAAACAGTATACAATAGAGTCCATGCTGCACTCTTCGATGCATATAAAGCGTACTACCGCGGTTCAGATGAGAACGTGCTACCACTAAGCGACACGTCTTGAATGTAGGAATTGCAGGAGAAATGATGGCAGTGATAGAGGCCAGGAATCAAGAAACAAGAAACGCGGAGAAAGGAGAGTATACGAAACAGTGGATCTGCTCGAGTTTAGAGGTGAGATGTATGGTGAGATTTATATGGCACTGAAGAAACGGCCAGGCGCACCTCAGACCATGTAGAAAGAAGAAGAAAAAACATTGTCGTCACCATCACTGTATACATGCGCAGGTACACCAATGGGCTAGGCGCCTGTGAGCCTAATCCATATTCACATTTGAGAACCAAGAGATCGCTAAACTGTAAGCAACTCCTAGGCGCACAGTATAAAAAATTGGACCTTTGTGTTACCCTCGGTAGGAAGACGTGTTACCACTAAGCAACGGGTCTCGCTGAGTGCACAACCTATGGGAGGAATAATCCCAGCGAGAGGCCCCCCATCGGGTCAACAAACGCGGAGAAACGAGAGGCTACGAAACATGCCACGCCTCCAGTGGATCCGCCTCCGAGTCGATTTAGAAATTGGTGGGAGATGCGGATGGAACGACGTGTTGAAAAAAAAGGAAATATCTACTGGCAGACACCCAGGCGCGTGTCAACCAATGGACCATACACCTTTATATGAACGAATGCCAGAAGCGTACTTTGTCCCACGTCCAAATCCACATGCTTCAAGGGATTCGCAGTGGCAGTGAGAGACCAAGCTGCAGCTCCTCGACGCATACTAAACAGACACTAGAAAGCTCGAGTATCCGGTCTGTAGGAGAAATGCCCATTGTAGTTTGAGGCCAGAATTCAAAACGAACACGGAGAAATCACGGCATACGAAACACGCACCTCGCTTGAGTTTAGAGACGGCGAGACGGATATGTCACGGCCAGGCGCACCTCAGTCCACGTAGAATCAAGAACAAAAAACCCGCTTCACTCATTTTGTATACAGGCGCAGGTGAACCAATGTGCCATATGCATCTGAGTAAACAATCGCCGACGCCCCCAAGTCGGAATTTACTTACTGGAAAGCGAGAGATCCACAACGCCGTATTACTTATCAGAAATTCTCAGCCGCATACCAAAAACATCGACGCATGTTGAAATGGAGACGTGTTACCACTGGACGACAGGTCTCCAGCGCAGTTGAACCTATGGGGGAATGATCCTATGTCGAGGGGACATCGGGTCAACAAACGCGGAGAAACAGAGAAGCAAGAAGACGCACCTCGGGTGAATTCCGTCTCAAGAGTGATATGGCACTAATCAGACGACGTGAGGACTGGAAACACAAAAAGCCATGTATTGGCAGACACACAGGTGTAGGTCAACCAATGGGTCATACATCTGGTGAGCGAACCATTACCAGAGCGTGTACTTAAGTGGAGCTAGGAGCGAATCCATGTCCTGGAAAGTAGCGTTCCAAACGCTGAGTCCGTTGCCCAAAAAGATGATCACCAAATCGAGTTTTAGTACCAAATGCCAACCCCTAGGCCACATCGGCATGAGATTCTAGAGTCCAGAGTACTTGCAAGCACGACACACTCGCCCCGTCAAACATGTCGCAGCGAGCTGAGGGCACGTCGCGGAGGAAAGAGAGGATAACAAATACGCACCTCCAGTGGATCCACTTGGGTTCGTTCTCGAGAGGGATACGGCACTAATTAGACGACGTGAGAACTGGAAACAAAGAAGGAGTTGTTAGCCGAGCACACAGATGCAGGTAAACCAATGTACCATACGCCTGTAAGTAAACCATTGCCAAAGCGCACTGAGTCTCAGGTTCGGAACCTTGTCCTAGAAAGCAGCGATCCAAACGCTGAGTCTTTTGCTCAAAGAGGTTGAGTACCCCTGGGCCACTCGGCGTGGAGTTCTAGAGTCCAGAGTACTTCCAACTGCCACGTTGTGGAGGAAAGAGAGGATACAAAACACGCACTTCATATGTCACAGGTGAGTCCGTTTAGGTTCCGTCTCGAGAAGGATACAGCACTAATCAAACGACGTGAGTACTGGAAACAAAAAAGACCATGCACGGGCAGACATACAGCTGTAGGTCAACCAATGGGCCACACACCTGTGAGTGTGAGAACCATTGCTAGAGCGTACTTTGTCCCACGTCCGAATCATGGTTCTAGAAAGCTTGGTATCCCGCGTTCGAGAATGTTGAGTCCCGCCCCATTGCCGTCGAGTCCTAAAAGGAAGATGAACACCACCTTACTAAACGCCTAATGCGAACCACTAAGTCACATAGGCGTGCAAGTCTGCCGGAATCCGACGCCGGCGACCATCATACTTTGGCCCGACCATGTCCCGTCAATCGACATTCGTTGTTTCGGGTGCGCCGTGACTAAAAATATGTTTTGTACCATCCCATTGACCAGACGCGGTACCGCTGAGGCACACACGTCTTGATTAGCACGAACTGACGTCGCACACGATGAGGTGGCAAGTCCGCATTAACCCAAATGAACAGAGAATAAGGGAGACGGCAAGCAATGACGCGTTAATATGCTGTAACACACTGGCGTGCGAAGACCGTTACCACCTGGCGATTATTGGGAACGAAGCGAAGACTCGCCAGGCTATCGAAAACGCCCGACCACGAAGGTGTACTCGTGAATGTGTCGAGCAGTTCTTAGACGCATACTAGAAAAAGTATTGGATGCCATCCATGAAGACGTGTTACCACTAAGCGACGCGTCTTGATTGTACGTCCTGAGGGAGAGATCATCCTCTGTCGCATCGAATTGATGATACAAACGCCGAGAAAAAGAAACACGCAGCTTGAGTGGATCCCCTAGTATTTGCTCTCTGACGACCTACATACTAGGAAACGACAAAAACTCGATGTTCAGACATGACTTGCAGGCATACCAATGGGCCATATGCCTGTGACTGAGCAATTTAGACCCACGTTCTAGAAAGCATGGGATTCCTACGCCAGTTTTCGGTCGAGTCCTAAAAAGATCAGCGTACTGTATATCATGAACACCACACGCAAACGACTAGGTCACACATCGGCGTAGAACTTTCATTGTCGTGGGTGTGGAAAGAGAGCGTTCGGGTATTTCCGAGCCCGTCAGCGAGTGATTTTTCAGAAGCCCCAGTGGTGTTGACGTTCAGGGCAGCCTAACAGCGCTTTGTCCAAGATTTAACTTGTGTTACTTTTTGACGACAGAAAGCATTGTGACGGACTGATCTTCCTCACGAGTCACTCACCATCTGTGGCAGCCTTTCGGTCGAGTCGTGTCCAGATCAAAAAAAAAGAGCGTTATCTACATGATTGGGGACACCCAGGATTGAACTGGGGACCTCTAGAAGATCTGTCTTCAGTCTGTTGCTCTCCCAACTGAGCTATGTCCCCAATATCCTTGAACCGTCGTTTGTACTCGACCGTCTCAGACTGTGACTGGAAGCTGTTTTAGTCTACTATGTCTTCATTGAAGACTGTTTCCAATGGTTCGATTTCCCGACACAATGGACTGTATAAAAACAACCTCCGTCGGCACGAATTTGACCTTTCCTGATCAATCGAATCAAGGTCACGTGGCTGTGCAACTCTTGTTTCCAACCACCATGACCATCTAATTGCTTTGACATTATTCCTCCGCAGGACCTCCCCAACAAACGAGCCCATTCCCCTTTGGACAGTCCGCGTACCGCGCGCACACCTACCGCATCATGGGAATCAAAGCATATGCTTCCTTGATCTCACACCACTCTCACACCCGGTCTCTGAAACGATCTTTTATCTTCTTATTTGCATCTGGAGCGTGGATTGCCAATGACATCTAAACATACGTGCACGACATGTGAGCGTATCATCGTGGATACGCAGGAAAGCGAGTGGACGCAACGGTCTCCAACGTGTGTGGGCCCCTGTTCTACATGTGCTCGCGCTAGTCTAGTGTTTCCTCTATCTTCTGTGATTGTTTTGGCGATGAGTATTTAACGGCTGTATAATCTCTGGATAACTATATTCCCTGTCTACCTACTTGGATCTACTCTTGAGTCATTAGCTCGACGATGAAGTTCTCCGCCACATTCGCTGCTCTCGCGTCGACGTTCGTCGCATCGTCGTCGGCGTTCACCATCAACTTCCAGAACAGTTGTTCTTACAGTACGCTCGCGTTTCTCGTGATGCATGCACATGGCCGACTAAACATCCTTGTTTCTAGCCGTCTGGGCTGCCATAGGAAGGCCCCCAATGGGCAACCCGACACGTCTGTCTCTACGGTGTCCAATTGGGTCCTGGCGCGTCGTCGTCCTACGGTATCGACGACTACGCTTTGGTACGCTCTTCCCTTCGTCCATTACCACCTATTCCTGACATTCTTCTCTCCGCTCATAGGGCATCCGCGCTGGGGACGTACGGCTGTGACGGCAACGGCGCAAACTGCGCAACGGGAGGATGCAACGGCGGTATGTCGCAGTCGGCTGTCTCGTTGAACTCATCCTTAATCGCATTTATCGTCTGTAGGTCTCGTGTGCAACGACGCAGGTATCACGTCCGGCGTGATCCTCTCTGAATACGGCTACGGAGACTTTGGTCAGTATGGCGGACAGCGCACGTCGTGGGACTTGAGCCGTGTCGACTCCAGCGTCAACATTCCGACGACCTTGACCTCTTCGGATGGCCAGAGCGTTACTTGCGCATCGTCGTCCTGCGCTGATGACCAGGCTTACAGCTATGCTACGGATTACGCGGCCGATAGGAATTCGGCGTTAGGGCAGACCTTCACCCACAAGTTCTGTTAAATATTAGGATAATTATGTTATTTAACGTTTCATTCATGTTTGGGAACTGTACTTGCAGTCTAATAAATGGACTTTGCTATTACTTAGACTCGGCCCGGAAACTTGCGACACTCCTTGAGCGCGACAACCATTTCGCCAAGACTTTTGACTTGTGCCCTCTGTCAGCATGGGTCGCTCGTTCCTACTCGCAGCGTCATCAGTCTTTCTTGGACCGCATCCAAGACTCGGAGGCCTGCGCTTTGACCAGGGATGGCCTTGCACGTCAACCTCCGCGCTTGGAGCATGGATATAGGTGAGACGCGCACCAGTGTATAAACCAGAGGATAAGCATGTATTCAGACATCTGGAGTTCGATTTGAAGTTGTTAGATCTGCCAATCGATGCCTTGACCTCGTTTCGCGACGAGCATGAGTATTTGGGTATGCAGCGTAGTTGAAGGAAATCTGAAGCGCATGAGAGGAAAGTAGTGGCACAGAGATGGCGACTCCGAAAGGCAGAAGTCAAGAGGAAGCAGGAACTTATCGTCTTACCGGTGAGATCCTGTTCCCCTGTGGTGCAGAGTTTTTGTGGCAGAACTGACTTAGACTTTGTTTCAGCGTTCGAAGAAGACGCCGAATGATAACAGCTTCCCTAGATGTGGCGTCAGTTTAAGGATGGCGAGGACCGTGATCTGCTGCTATCATTGCGCGGACATGACAGGTCTCGACTGGATTGAATAACATAAACGACTATGCTCGTCCTTTCTAATAACGAGTCATTGTAAACCGTAGGCAACCTGAGCGCTGAGGTAATTAAAACTTGTTTCTTTCCTTCATGTCGACCATCGGCTGCGCGGATACTGACGAAAGACCTTGAGTCACTCGTTACTCAGTCATTCTATACGGCCCGGCAGATAGCCCCGAAGAGTATCAGTCCACTGGTCGCATATGGTCTGATCGCGTCGAATTTATATGGATATTTAATGTTCGGTCTACCTCACGGCTGTTCGAGTCTCCCATCATGCCATTCACTCTGACACCAGGCGTTCGCTTCATTTCCAAGGTTCTTCTGTATGGATACATCTACGTCGCCGGCTTGTCACTCCTAGCTGGCTACGTCCTACCGTCTCTCTCAAAAATTAGCTTGGCAGGTCTATCATTGATTTGCGCGGTGTCTGGTCTCGTCGGCAAGCGGCATATCGCTCGTTTTAGGGACGAGCGCACTGCACGGTCGTTGGGTGCGAGGCTGGCACCTCGAGTACGCGGTAAACTGCCGTTGAACTACGACGTCTTGATGGTCTTGCATCAAGCCTCTGTATCTGGATAATCTTGCGAACTGTTCCAAGACTTTGCGGACGAGTATGGCGCAATCTATGACTTGGACCTTGGAGGGTTCTCCTTGCTGACTACAATATCACCGAAACATATACAAGTGCTTCTGGCTACGCAGTTCGATAAGTTCGAAAAAGGTTTGTCAATAGCGAATGGGAATTGAGACGATTTGAAGTGTTTTGTAGGACCTACTTTTCGCGACGTTATGAAACCTGTTCTGGGTTCGGGCATTTTCAATGCTGACGGCGATATGTGGAGGTCAGTGTACAATTCGTTCCACGAGTTGCCTAACACTGAATTTTGGCAGATTCCATCGCACACTCAGCCGCCCTTTCTTTTCTAGAGACCGGGTGACACACTTTGATATTTTCGACCGACATGCCCTATCCACCATTCAAAATATGAAAGATCGTCTTCGCCTCGGAACCACCGTCGACTTCCAGGATCTCATTCAGCGTTTCACCAGGATACCGCCACTGAGTTCCTCTTCGGTGCTTGCGTCGACAGTCTTTCCTCAACGCTTCCTTATCCTCATGAGAAGGCATCGGCATCCGATGCGAACACCTTCTCGGATGCGTTCTTGAGGACGATGCTCGCTCTAGCCCAGCGTGAGCGCACAAGGGATCTGTGGCCGCTCATGGAGATCAAGAAGGACTTGGTACTCGAGCATCTGGAAAAGGTGAACGCGTACATCCATCCCATCATTGATGCCGCGTTGCAACGGAATAAGCATGTCGCTATTGGAGCCGAAGACGATGTCGGCGACACCTTGCTTGATCATTTGGTTCGGGCTACAGACGGTAAGTACCTTCATTTTACCGCTTCCGTATCGTCCTGATCCCAACCCGTTAGATGCGTCTATCATACGAGAAGAGCTGTAAGTCTCGGAGCCATCGCCGTGGTCACCCAGTTTTAAACTCAATGTGTTGTTATCAGCATTAATATTCTCATTGCCGGTCGAGATACTACTTCGGCGACGCTGTCCTTTGCCGTTTATCTGTTTTCCATGCACCCAGAAGTAATGACTCGACTTCGAGCTGAGGTAATCCGAGTTGTGGGACCACATCGACAGCCAGGCATAGACGACGTTAAGGAGTTGAAGTATATGAGAGCGGTCATAAATGGTAAGCGCGTCTTCGAACGTCTGGACAGCTATTTTTGATCTCGTGTCCTTCCAGAAACATTACGCCTCTTTCCGCCTTGTACGGCGGCTTCCCTCTTTCCCTCCTTCTGTATGGAACTGACCTACTCGATTATAGACCAGCCAATATTCGCGAAACGGTTGAAGGTGTTGTACTTCCCCCAGACGTTCCTGGAGAGTAGCCGACATATGTTCCCCCGCATACACAGTGAGTGATTGCCTTGGTGAAGTCACCACCGTTTCTGAGGGTTGCTAGAGTCGTGTATTCCGTAATGGTGATGCATCGAAGAAAGGACCTTTGGGGGCCCGACGGTAAGCATGTTCTCATTTCGCGCCGCCCGCCGTGCTCAGTGGGCTCCAGCTGACGAATTTGACCCCGACCGATTTCTGGATGAACGCAACAAGAAGTATCTTGTCCCTAATCCGTTCATATTCCTTCCCTTCAACGCAGGCCCGCGAATATGCCTTGGGCAACAGGTGAGACACCGGGCTTCACCCTTCTAATCATCGACTGACATTGATGCAGTTTGCATACAACGAAATGTCTTTCATGCTGGTGCGACTAATGCAGAACTTCCGGTCATTCACACTCAACGAGAAGGCATCTTCGATGCCTTGCCCTCCCGAGTGGGGACGATGCTCGGGGCGAAAAGGGTTTGAGAAGGTCTTTCCGAAAGTGACTTTCACGTTGTACATCGGAGTGAGTTCATAGCGAAAATGAAGGCGTTCCGTTTAGATTGATTAAACGTGATGGGGCGGACTATGGCTCGATGCCATTGAAAGCGATTATATGTGATGTTGACTGACCCATCGCCACGGTACGGCCTGTGAACGCGAGGCATTCCTCTCACGGCGGCGGCGTATAATGCTAGGCCATTAGTGTACCGTAGTCCTATCCGTACAAAGAAAAAAAGCAGTACCAAAAGAACTGATGTGACGTGGGGCCGAATACGGCCCTCCAGTGAACAGCAGCGCAAGGGTTACTGGACAACATCCAGGCCAATAGGACTTAGAATCGCGTTGACCATGACTTTCGTAGTAGTGGCATTTGCTGTCAAATTTCAATGCCGAGCTCGGTAAATGATCCGGTACCTCGATCGCGTTTCCCTTTGTGTGGGTCCTGCGCTCTTTAAAGCCAACCATCACCTGCCCTTG